CGTGTGTTAATTGATCTAGGTAGTTCGGCCAACATCATTCGATCAAGGGTCATAGAGCAACTCGGTCTACAGGACCAGGTCATCCTCGCAACCCTGGTACTAAACGGATTCAATATGGCGTGTGAAACTACTAAAGGCAAGATAATTTTGCCAGTAAACGCGATCGGGACCATCCGAGAAACAAAGCTCCACGTGATCGAGGGCGACGTGAGATATAACGCACTATTCGGGAGGCCTTGGATCCACAATATGAGAGCAGTACCCTCGACCCTTCATAGGGTTTTAAAATTCCCAACACTAGAGGAAATCAAAATGGTCTACGGGGAGCAACAGGGCTGCAAAGGAAATGTTTGTCGTGGTTGAAGTGATTCCGATATCATCACTATCATCGACAAAGGGATCAGATTCGAAGGAGAAACGGGACACCAAATAGCAAACACAAACGTCAGCCTCGACCCAATTAGAGAATCAAAGGACTGACGAAGATAATGATTATGGGATCCCTCGATCCTTCGTGATCCCCGATGATTCCGACGCTACCAAATCAACGGTCAAAGAACTAGAGCAAATCACACTAATCGAATATCTTCCCAAGCGAAAGCTATACCTGGGCACGAGGTTAAATCCTGAGCTCAGGAAAAAGCTTATTCAATTTTTTATAGCTAACATGAACTGTTTTGCTTGGTCCTATCTTGACATGACAGGGATCCCACTGGAAATAACCACTCATAGACTAAGTTTGGATCCGAAATTCCATCCGGTGAAGCAAAAAAGAAGGCCCCAGTCCGAGGTCAAGCATGCCTTCATCAAGGATGATGTAACCAAACTTCTTAAAATAGGATCCATTCGAGAGGTAAAATACCTCGAATGGCTAGCAAACGTGGTGGTAGTCCCTAAGAAGGGAAACAAACTTAGAATGTGTATAGATTATAAAGACCTGAACAAAGGATGCCCTAAGGATTCTTTCCCTTTACCTAATATCGATTGCATGATCGATGCCACGGCCGGCCACGAGACTCTCAGTTTTCTCGATGCCTACTCCGCGTACAACCAGATACAGATAAACCCGGAGGACTAGGAAAAGACCTCGTTTATCACTAAGTACGGTACCTACTGTTATAACATAATGCCATTCGGACTGAAAAATGCTGGTGCAACTTATCAATGCCTAGTAAATCGAATGTTTGAAAAATAAATAGGGAAATCAATGAAAGTTTATAATAATGATATGTTTAGTTAAGTCCATGCGAGCAGAGGACCATTTAAAGGATTTGCAGGAAACTTTCGACATACTAAGGGAGTACAATATGAAGCTCAACCCCAAAAATGTGCATTCGGGGTTGGCTCGGGCAATTTTCTTGGTTTCATGGTGTCCGATCGGGGAAATGAGATCAACCCCGACAAAATCAAAGCTATCGAGGATATCACGATAGTGGATAATGTAAAGGCCGTACAGAGGCTAACGGGATGGATAGCCACCCTAGGACGATTCATTTCGATATCCTCAGATAGAAGCCACCGATTTTTCTCACTACTTAAGAAGAAGAGCAACTTTGCATGGACTCCGGAATGCCAGCAGGCTTTGGAGGGACTAAAGCAGGTAAAGTGGACGAATAACTTTACCTGTACTTAGTTGTCTCTGAGATAGCGGTAAGTGGAGTCCTGTTTCGAGAAGAACAAGGTAAGAAATTCCCTATTTATTATGTCAGTCGGACCTTAGGCGAGGCCGAAACTAGATATCCACACTTAGAAAAATTAGCTCTTGCTTTAATAAGCGCCTCTAGGAAACTAAAACCATATTCCCAGTGTCATCCAATATGTGTTGTAACAACTTATCCTCTTCAAAATATTTTGCACAAACCCGAGCTTTTGGGTCGATTGGCCAAATGGGCCATAGAAGCAGTGGGTGTGATATTGAGTATCGACCCGAAACCGCCATCAAATCTCAAATCTTGGCGGACTTCGTGGCTGACTTTATGCCGCCCTTCGTACCCGAGATTGAAAAAGAACTACTTATAAAATTGGGTACCTCTTCGGGAGTCTGGACCCTCTTTACGGACGGTGCCTCGAACGCGAAGGGGTCCGGACTAGGCATCGTACTAAAATCAACCACAGGTAATGTAGTTAGACAATCTATCAGAACTGCAAAATTGACTAACAATGAGGCCGAGTACGAGGCCATGATTACAGGTCTCGAACTAGCCAGAAGCTTGGGAGCGAAAGTCGTAGAAGCTTAGTGTGATTTCCTCCTCGTGATAAACCAAGTTAACGGGACTTTTGAAGTCCGAGAAGGTCGAATGCAGAGGTACTTGGATAAACTATAGGTGACTCTACATCAATTTAAGGAATGGACCTTGCAACATGTACCCCGAGAACAAAACAACGAGGCCGACGCCCTTGCAAACTTAGGTTCATCAGTCATAGATGACGAACTCAACTCGAGGACTGTCGTACAACTCATGAGATCGGTAATCGAAGAAGGTCACGCCGAGATAAACTCCACAATTTTAACTTGGGATTGGAGAAACAAATACATAGAGTACTTCAAGAACGGGAAGCTTCCATCAGATCCAAAGGAATCAAGAGCTCTACACACAAAGGCAGCACGGTTCACCTTGTCCTAAGACAGAACGGTATTTAGGAGGACGTTCGATGGACTATTGGCAATATGTTTGGGACCGGGAGATACCGATTACATCCTATGTGAAATTCACGAGGGCACTTGTGGAAATCATTCCGGTGCCGATTCGCTAGTCCATAAAGTAATCAGAGAAGGATATTATTGGATCGATATGGACAAGGATGCAAGGGAGTTCGTTCGAAAATGCGACAAATGCCAAAGGCATGCGCCCATGATTCATCAACCCGGGGAACTACTCCACTCGGTCCTATCTCCATGGCCTTTCATGAAATGGGGAATGGACATTGTTGGCCCCCTCTCATTGGCCCCGGGTAAATCTCAGTTTATTTTGTTTATGACTGATTATTTCTCTAAATGGGTTGAAGCACGGGCTTTCGAGAGAGTCAGGGAAAAGGAAGTGATAGACTTCATTTGGGACCACATCATATGTCAATTCGGGATGCCATCCGAGATTGTATGTGATAATGGAAAATAATTCATCGGCAACAAAGTAACTAAATTTCTCGAGGATCACAAGATCAAAAGGATCCTATCAATACCTTATCATCCCAGCGGGAACAGACAAGCCGAATCAACCAACAAAACCATCATCCAAAATCTTAAGAAGAGATTGACCGACGCCAAAGGAAAATGGAGAGAAATACTACCCGAGGTCCTATGGGTGTACCGCACAACATCGAAATCCAGTACCGGAGCAACACTATTCTCTTTGGTTTATGGCGCAGAAGCTCTTATCCCGGTCGACGTCGGAGAACCTAGCATCAGGTTTTGATATGCAACAGAGGAGTCAAATAACGAGATCATAAATACGAGCCTAGAATTGTTGGACAAAAGACGAGAAGCCGCTCTCGTCCGATTGGCCACCCAAACACAGCGAATCGAAAGGTACTACAATCGAAGAACCAATTTTCGACATTTTAACATCGGGGACTTGGTGCTAAGAAAAGTCACCCTCAATACCCGAAATCCAAATGAAGGGAAACTTGATCCGAATTGGGAAGGACTGTATCAAGTTCTCGAAATCATCGGAAAAGGATCCTACAAGCTTGGTAAAATAAACGGCAAACAACTATCGTGCAATTGGAACGTATCGCACCTAAAACGATACTACTGCTAAGGCACAACCCTCCCATGTTCATTTGTATTTCGAAACTAACCCTTGTAGGTGTTCGAGCAGAAACAGGGATATATTATTCAACATGAAGCCTTTAGGTCTGAAAGCGCGCGTTGCACTCTTTTTCCCTTAAGACCGGTTTTATCCCAAATGGGTTTTTTGGTGAGGTTTTTAATGAGGCAACCATTGATCGTGCTAACTTAGAACAATTCAACAGTATCTGAGGCCTCTTCACAATCAACCTCGAATATTGGAGGGCATTGCCCTCGAATGTCAAGTTCGGACAAGATCGTTACTTCATGGCAATAGGGTCTCGGTAGGAAAAATTTGTAAGGGTCAAATGGTCAAACGAACCATGCCCGCATACTTTGCTCGGGCCCTAGCACAAAACATGTACGCATGTATAATGACTTATAAGAGAGAAATTTATTCTTTACCGATATCTCATACCTCAGAAAGGTTCTTCTACTTCATATTCTCGATCTATTATGCAAACATGCTTAAGGGCCGACCATGACCGGAGTTCGAATGATTACCCCATAAATCGGGGACTGTCATCCAAAAAATCAACGAGATCAAATTATACAAAGCCTAAGGGCTACCTTAATTTTAGTTCGAGGAATCATTCTCACTCGACTACAAGGTCTAAGGGCTACCTTAATTCGAGTTCGAGAAATCATTCTCACTCGACTACAAAGCCTAAGGGCTACCTTAATTCGAGTTCGAGAAATCATTCTCACTCGACTACAAGGCCTAAGGGCTACCTTAATTCGAGTTCGAGAAATCATTCTCACTCGACTACAATGGCCTAAGGGCTACCTTAATTCAAGTTAGAGAAATCATTCTCACTCGACTACAAAGCCTAAGGGCTACCTTAATTCGAGTTCGAGAAATCATTCTCACTCGACTACAAAGCCTAAGGGCTACCTTAATTCGAGTTCGAGAAATCATTCTCACTCGACTACAAAGCCTAAGGGCTACCTTAATATGAGTTCGAGAAATCATTCTCACTCGACTACAAAGCCTAAGGGCTACCTTAATTTGAGTTCGAGAAATCATTCTCACTCGACTACAAAGCCTAAGGGCTACCTTAATTCGAGTTCGAGTGAATCATTTCACTTGACATCTATTTATCAAGCCTAAGAGCCACCTCAGTTCGAGTTCGAACATTCACTCGGGGACTAGCTATAAGAAAATGTCGAGTGCAGCATCTACTATCGGTCCTTGCTATCTCAATCTTGGAACTTCGCATAATTATTCCATGCTAAGGCACTTTTTGACCTTTGTATAAGTTAACAAAAAGGCAAAAGATTCAGAAGCCATAGAAGGGGAAAGTTTTATATATACATCGAAATCTTTTACAAAGGCAACACGGCCCGAAGGAAGTTCTTTACCAAGGCTGAAGCAGCCTCGATAGAAAAAAAAACTACTTAAGGTCCTAAATGTTTTGGTCTTCATCGGAGGCCACGTCCTCGGGATCTTCCCCACCTTCAGATTCGCTTGAGCTATCGGAGTCTTCCTCAGGAAAGGTCAGCCTTCGAGCCCTGTTTTCCTCCTCCTTGGCATTTTCAATTTCGGCCTCAACATCGAAGCCCTGAGCACTGACTTCCTCGAGAGCTTCTCTCCGAGCCTACCATTTAGCATGTTCGACCATGCTCTTGGCCTTGTCCTGGTTAACCTCAACATCGATCCTGAACTGGGCCACTTTCGCATAAGCTCTTTTATTAGCTTTGGTTATCCCAGATCTAACCACTTTGAGTTCATTAGCCAAGCTTACCTTATCGTAAATGGCCAATTCTAACCGACTCTGAAGCTCTTTAACCTTCTCGATCAGCACCAAGGTGTTTTCTTTTGTAGCCCGAAGCTGGGCCTCAGCCGACTCCAATTGCGATTGAACGACCTCCTTTCTGGAGGCGAGGATATCCATATTTTCTTTGAATTTTTCCCCTTCGGCCATTAGCTCATCTACCTGCGAATTGAGTCGTCCGATCTGTTCAAGCCCCTGCCGAACCTGCAAAATCGGGTTGTTAGTGGTTATCTCCAATTCATCTTCACTGTCGTGAAGAATTCGGAATACCTTCTCGGCCATCTCCTCATGCTCATCCCGAGCCGCGGCCAAATCTGCTCGAAATTTCTCGCTACGAAGTTTATAGGAGTCACTCTTCTCAGTGAGATTCCGAACCTCGGCCTCATGCTCCTCTCGGATTCGGAGGAAAGCCTCGTGATGCAACACCGAAACCTACAAACATGGGAAAACATATTAGAATTATCTACAATAAGTATAAAAGAAACAGCATAGATGCCATCGAAATTACCCGATTCAGAGCATGCTAGGCCTCGTTGAAAAGGCAGGCGGGTCCTACCGCATTCATCACTGCTTGATCTTCTTCGGTCACTAGGGACCGAAGGTAACTAGCAATCCCCACAGGGGGAGAGAAAATTCGGGTATCTTCCGGGATGGAGAGCACCACCTTCCACCTACGATCAGGATCAATACTCGGGGCCGGGAATTGGTCCACTAGTTTTGGAACTAATGAAGACATGGTAGAGCCCGATCATGATGTTTTCTTTGGTATCGGTAATCCACCGAACCCGATAACTTCCTCCGAGGCAGCTGACTCAAGCCCATCCAAAAAACCATGGATATCGGTCGGCTCCTGAATGCCCTCGTTGGATCGACCTTCCATCATGCTGGCCTCACGGATCATAGCATCCAAAATCTGAGGGTACCCGCTAATATTAACTATCCCGAGCTCATCCCTCGAGATATCTTCTGCTGCCAGAGAAGTCCTACCCTCGGTCTCCCCTTCAACCATCTCAGCTCGAGACCGAATAGTCTCGGCTTTTTCTTGTTCCGGGATTATGACCAGGGTTCCCGTATTCACTTCCGCCGATTCGGAAGATTGTTGTATCACAACATTAGCCCGTACACCGACTAATTCATCTTCTCCTTCTTCGGGATCGTCCCTTAATCGGCGGATCGATTCCGAAAGCATAACATCAGGGGGGCCCTTTAGCTTGCGAGATTTCTTCGTCAGTTTTTTCTTTTCCGAGACCAAGGAACTCGGTACATATTTTATATTCTTTTCTTTAAACTGCTTCGGGACAGGAACCTCCTCATCACCAGATGGGGGCAACGTCCTTCCCAAGTCCTACAAAAGGGGAAAAAGGGTTAAGCAAGTAAAGAAGAGCAAATGGCAAACAAATTAAGAGAGAGACTTACCATGACTACGGGCCTCCCATCGACCCTTTGATAATTTCACCCAAGCGCGCTCGGAGTACGGTGTTTGCAGGCCCAAACCTTCAGCCCATTATTTAAGATCCGGAATTGGCTCAGGCATCCGAGCCACAGCTGTGACAAGAAAGAAAAAATGGATCAAGAAAATGAAAGATAGTTACAAAATTAAAACGATCGAAGGGGAATAAGTGCTCACGGTTCATATTCCATTTCTTAGGAAATGGCATGTCATCGGCAGGGATCAGGTCCGAGGTTTTGACTCGAACAAACCTCGATCACGAGTCTCGTCTATACTCGAGAACGACCCTTTGGTGGCTCGGCGAGCAAGTTGATTAACTCTCCTCGATAAAGTCGGGGACTATAAAGGCGCATAAGGTGGTCGGGGGTGAAAAGACACCCCTCGATTTTGCTCGAGAAAAATCGGAGAAGAATTACTATTCTCCAAAACGAAGGATGGATCTGGCGTCGTATCTCTTGCAAAAGGCGACGATGATAGGGTTTAAATGACCCAATGTGAAAGGATAAGTATAACCACTTAGGAACCCTTTCACATGGGTAGTAATTGATTCGTCAGGCGATGGGACTACCACGTGCTTATCGTCCCAGTTGCATTCTTGTTTGACTTACTCGAGAATTATTTCGGTGATTGTACACTGGTACCTCAACATCGGTCACATCGACCCGGTACCGAAGAAGGTTTTTTCAACTTTAAAATCACTGACGGTTGAACACCCTACCGGAACGAATTCCTCAGGGCGAGGCTCCGCCGCATCCTCACCGCCGACGAGTCGTGATGAAGAAGGAGCCTCTTTTTGTGGAACGTTATTAGATGTTTTGGCCATCTAAATTTCTGTGAACAAAGAAGAAGGGAGATTGAAGTATTTGGTGCTTTGAGAAGAACAGGCAAAGAAATTCCAAAACCTAGAAATATGACACTTTGGAGAAGGCGAAGGACTGTGAAGATTGGAAGGAAAATGGTTTAAAGGTAAAAGTTTGAAATAATAAAGAAAGGGGCTATTTATAGATTTTATAGCGACGGTTCAAAAATTGGCATTGGCCGACCATCGACTGACGCGCATTTAATGCCTCGGTAACTGGACCGATGGGACGTTTGTCACATACGTCACAATCGGGCTTGTCGCAGACGTCATCATTCGTCTAGCCCGAGGTTGCAAAATCATATCGTTTCTCGCCACCTTCTTTCCGAGAAATAAGGGGACTATCTGTATACGGTCAAAACCGAGTTTCCCCTTCATGTGATTAATCGAGATTGGAACATGATGGACCGAGGTTCATCATTATAATATCGAGCTCGAGACCCAGAGGCCGATTAATATCGAGCTCGAAACCTAGAGACTGATCAATATCGAGCTCGAAACCCAGAGACCGATCAATATCGAGCTCGAGTCACTATCAAACTCGAGACCCAGAGACCGACCCATACCGAGACCAGCCAAGATAGAGATCGAGTGAAGGGACAAAAGAGCCGTTATAGCCACACTTGGAGAAAGAATCCCGGCAAAAATCAAGAAAAAGTTAATTAATATGTCTATCATGGGATCCCCACTATGTATTTTTAATTATATCCAAAATGGGATTCCCTCACTATATTAAGAGTGGTTATCATTTGTAAGAGGGCATTGATTCATACACACATTCATTCTAATATATATATATAGAAAACAGAGCCAATACTATTTTTTGGTGGCTTTTGGTATTTTAGTCAAATTGTTTCGTCTATCAATCGTTCTTCGCCCGATTTGGAAGTGATTAAACTTGAAGGCTTAGGCTAATTAGTTCATCTAGTTTGCATTCAATTCTTTTATAACTAATTTCAACACACATTTATTTATCTTTCCCGATTTGTACCAATTCATACCACGTATCCTTAGAACTATATATAAATCCAACTCTATCCGTTTTTCGGGTAAACAGTGTTGAGTTTTTCTCAAAAATCTCAATACAAAGATAGAAGAACAAGAAACACTTTTCTTGTAATGGTATTTTATCTCATGGCTTGTGTTGCACTCTTACTTTCACAAAGTGATTTTTCTTCTCAAGAATTAATGCGTCAAATTTCCTCCATCACCCTTTATATAATGTCACTTATAAATTATTTTCCTATTTAGCTGAGGTAATGATTTACTTAGGTAAAAGTTTATTTCAAAAATAAACTTGATGGAATTTTGTACGGAGAATCTGTAATCCCATTCTCAGTGGGTAACGTGGCTGCCGAGTTTCATGGACTTTCCATCAAGTACAATTCCAAGCACTGAAAATTTCTTTGTAAAACAAGAAAAACAAAGTTGGAGTCGTCAAACGTCCTTTTATATGGACTTTCACGTGAAACCAATTTGAAATTAGATTTTAGTCTCATTAAAAAACGTGTAACCCATTTCTTATGGGATTACTAGTGTCGTAGGTAGTTATTTGTGGATTTTGAATTAGTCTTTCTTATTAATATTTAATATATATTCCATATATAAATAAATATTAATTATAAGTACCAAATATATATATATATATATATATCACACACATATATATTTCAACCAAGAGATATAATTTAATTTTCTATTCTAAATAGAAAACTTTAATTTGTTCACAATATTAATTATATTCCCTGTGCTAGCAAAGAATATTATAATATTTTATTTGGACTAATAACTTAATTTATTTGACTAATTAAACTTTATAATTTAATTATCAAATAACAAAATAATTAATCCTTTAGCAAAGATCAGGACACTCGTTAATGTGCGACCACATAGGTTCAATACTAAGCCGGTAGTAAATTAATCATATCAATATACTAATCAAGGGTGTCGTCTAGCAACACTCCTTAACGACCGGGTAGCATGAAGTATACAATTTAGTCTCAAGAACCAGTAGAAGAATAATGTCGTAATTCCTTATGTCCTTATAGCTCTGGATCACCCTAGGATATGGTTCAACTATCAAATCCTAATAGGCGACCAACTATGTGTTCATGTCAAATATAATCGACCATTGAATTACCTAAAAAACTATTTTCTTCTTTCATTCAATTGCCCTGGCCAAGGTCTTAATTTGGTCGTTTATAATTCATGACAACATGGAGCTTAAACTCATTACCAAGAGTTGACAGATTTCATCTTGACCAATAACTAATTCTACAAGTATTTAATCGTACCCAATAACCTTTCAACTATTGCCGAAGAGCCATAGGTGTCTAGTATCAAAGCACAATAAATAGCTTGTCAATTATTATGACGATCTCAGGTTAAAGGATACTCTCACATCACATTCTTCAAGAGAATATCCTATTGACAGTTTATGGTAATTTCAACCNAAATAACTTGTCAATTACTATGACGATCTCAGGTCAAAGGAAACTCTTACATCACATTCTTCAAGAGAATATCCTATTGACAGTTTATGGTAATTCTAACCATTAGGAATTATCCAATGAGTCGGTTCAATGATCATATCTCTATATGCATCATCTATCTATGTGATTTAGTTAATGAGATCAACTAATCTTTATCCCATAAAGACAAGCACATAAATATTGATCTAACCGGATTACTAATATCCAAATTAATAATTCTACGACCAAGATCAAATTTAGATCAAATTGTAAGAGACTTTACTATCATTATCATGATCTCCATTATGATGATAAGTCTCAAAATTTAATCAAGGATTTTATTAAATTAATCAATCAATTAATAATTCAATAACTATGATAAAAGAATACCAAATGCCATATATTTTTATATCAAATAACGTTCATAAAAAATATGTTCAAATCATCAAACATGAGATTGGATTTAGGACATATCTACTATATCCCTAACAAGCGTGTCTAATACTCAACTAAAATAGATTGGGGTAACCATTTTACTGTTACCTTTAGAGATGATGCATAGCTCGAAAAAATTAAACTCCTTCATGTATCCAACTGCATCTTCTGTTGCATATTTCTTCAACTTGCTAATAGGTATGCATTGGTTTCCTAGCTCTTCTTCGCTTGCCATTGTGATTTATCCTGTAGTAGCTAGGAGGTAGATACAAACACAATATATATGTAGAATCAGTTTTTTCCTATCTAATCTATATCCTTTAGAAGTTGAACCATCAAATACAGTACATAGTTGTAATAAAAGAGTGATGTTCTGAAATCTAATATGGTGAAAACAGATTATTTTTGTGGTTTCGATGGAAAAGCGAGTAACTTCAGCTTTCAGCTGGCAACATATATGAATATGTTAATAATATTTAAAAGTGATTACAATAGTATAAAATTATTAACAATTTTATGATGCAGTAATCGAGAAACCTGTTAAAGAATTATACCACTAAATTAAGCCTTAATAGCAAATGATGAACTTAATACCCACACTTGATAATAAAATGTTGAAATTGCGAAAAAGCAATCACTTGGGAATAGATTGCTAGCTATAAGCCAAAAAGGACAGAGGAGAAGTCAATATTTGCAGCACAAACTAACTAAAACACATATACTTGTTGCAAATATTGCTGAGTGAAAAGAATATTCTGCAAAAAAAGCGAAGAAGGATAATCGACAAAGAGATCTTATTGTGCACTTTTATATAGAGTGCTTTGGCGAATGTGAAAAGGTTGAGCCAAAAACTTATACCGGGGAAGATGAGAGATACAAACAATACCTCTAAGTAATAACTAAGGAAATTTACATTGATATAAGTAAAGAATGTAAAGAAACTGTACAAAGAGATCACTATGGACGATGAAAGAAATAAAATATAAAGAGTAAAATAACTAAAGGTATTTACACACCTGGCCACAAGTAATTACTGAAAATCCAGTATCCATTCATGCATCATCACGAGCAAATTCTCCATATTTGGCTTCTGAGATATCCTATTTATTTAGATCGTTAGCAAGAATCCCAACGATCAACAACTCTATTGTAAAGGTTGTTCAAGAAAAAGGAAAAGGAGGCAGAAACGCTTTCTAAGATAATTATGATGGAGAAAGTTTTTGGGGTAATTGAAGGACAATATGAATGCCCTCAGCCTAATTAGGTTCATTGACTTAGTTGTCTGGAGCATTAAACTGCTACTCCAATTCAGTCGGCTAACTGATAAAGTAATTAAAGAATTAACTAATTGGAGGTTTATTATTTTTCTTTAGAGACAAATTGGTCACTCAGATTTTAAAGGGTATTATTGTAAACTGACTTTGAAAGTATGAGCTTCCTACTTTTAGTATAACTAGTTAGGAGCCTCCTCCAAGCGTGACGTTCTTGTCTTTGGTCGTCAAAACTCCTCTAAAAATGGTGTTTAATGACTATTTATATGTGTAGGGAAAAGATCTAGACGAATGGGAGATAAATTTTCTTATCGGAACTTCTGTATTCCTTTTAGAGGTTCTGAAAGTTAGTCAATGTTCTATCACATGATAATTTCTTGAAGTTGTTAAGCAGTTAGTTTGGAGAAAAAAGAAAGAGCTGCAGCTAACATTCTTACCTTGTAAACTGGTCCAAAACCACCCTCTCCAAGCTTGTTGTTCAGCGAAAAGTTACTGGTAGCTTCCAAGATAGTTGCAAAATCAAACAATGGTAAATCAAGATCGTCATCTTTGCTTTCATTAATTCTGAACATTTCAGAGCTTCTATTTCCTCTTCCTGTCAATTTAAGGACTTAATTTGATACAAAAAGGAAAATTCTGAGATTTACCAACCAGAACTCCAAAAATAAAAGCACTAATAAATCAAGCCACATGTTTCAAATTTCAAATCAGCAAAACATCTGGTTTACCTTCGCTAAAACGTTGCTGATTCCGATCCTCCTCCTCCTCCTCCTCCTTCTTCTTCTTTCGCCTTATGTACAAGATCAAGCATAGCGCTGAGAGGAGACTTAATGCTGCCAACGGCAAGCTGATTCTCAGAATCTTTAATTTCTCTCTACTAGAGTTTCCTGATGATTAATATAAATTCATCCAAGTTTCATAAGTAAGAAACCTTCTTTTTTTCAAATAATGCAGGAAAGCCTCTTTGTTTTACTTTTTTCAATTTGTTAATAAATGAGTCTTGAACCTAACTCAAACCCAAAAGCTAGTCCTGAGGTGATTATTGCCCAATATCATACAAGGAGATAACAATCCATTTTCTCCTCCAATATGGGACACTTACCAGAAATAATGTAGGAAAATCTCAACTTGCTCAAAGGCGAAAAGCTCTAAAAAGCATTTCAGGTGTATTGGGGCTTTAAGCGCAATTGAAGTGTGTGTTTTTGTAATAAAAGGTGCAATGGAGGGAAAAAGTAAAATTATAAATGTAATTCAAGAACAAATTTAAAAACTCATTCATAATGTTATTCTTAAGAATATATTTGTTGTTTAGTAATAATTCAAGAATTTAACTTTCTTTTGGCAATTGAATGGTACGTTTCTAACACAGCCTCCTGATCAATTTCCCCTTGCCCAATCTATTGGATCTTTGGGTTCAAATTTATCCATACATTTGCAGATTGGAGAATTGCCGATGTTGCACAAACCATATGTATGACACTGACCGTAAATGTCACAGTTGTCTGCCGGTGCGCTACCAAAGCCATCCCAATTCTGAGTTTGATTATTCCATATTGAAAACTCTAGAAACCCATTTAGTTCCATCACTACCCTCTCAATGCTAGATCTGTTTGTGAGCTCATACGTGAAGTATACTTTATCAGGATCGGATAGTTATAAGCAGGACTTGGTAGCAGAGATGGTGAATTAGCAAAGCTTTGACCATTCCATGCTCCGCCCCGGAAGCGTTCGATGGTACCGCTCATGAGAAATGGCTGTGGAAATCCTTGAGGATCAAATATGAAATTAAACTCACCCTTAGGGGTCAGTTCTGCTCTTCCATGACCAGAGGGAACGACAAAAACCAGTCTTAAGATCGATCCCTACCTTAACTCCAGGTAAAGCTGTGTCACCGGGATAGTCGAAACTCTGCCACAAGTAATTATCAGTTGCATCCCTAACGACAAGATTGCCTGAATCAAGAAGCTGAGCTATTGGATTTTGCACACTTCTGATGGCACTAGAGGACCAAATGACACGACCAGAACCGTTCAGAAGAGTAAGATTTCCTTGTCTAGTAAAATTTAGCATACCATCTGTATCATTGAATGGATTGTCTCTATTAGCAACCCATACCACTGTCTGTATGTTGTTGAACCGTATTCCAAGGTATCGTTTCCTGGATGTACCAGTACCAGGGGAGAAAAAACCCAACTCAAACTTTCCACCTGATGAAATGATGGTGTTTCCATCTGTTAAAGGTTGATCTGTAGGTATGGTATTTGCAGCACTAGAAAGAATCAAAACAGAATATGGAAGGCAAGAAGAAATGAATATTTATGGCTTCCATTGGTTTCTGTGCTTCTACCTTAGAGCACTCTAACCTTGTCCCCAAAAAATTTCACTCCAACCCTCCCCATTTTTGTACCCAAAAACCCCATTTACTATTCTCCATTAAAATATTATTATTTTTATTATTTAATCTTTTAATTTATCTTTTTATATATACTTAATTATGTTTATATAATATATTTACCTAATTAATTTTTCATCTTAACTTTAACGTATAATTTTAAAAAATTAATTATCGTGCATTTATTTTTTTATGTAAAATTGGTAGTTAATTTTATTATGAGTTATAATTGTATGAAAAAGATATAACCATCACAAAAAATGAAAGGTGCAAATATAAAATATGATTTCACTTTTATTTGAATTATTAGTTAATCTATAATAATTGCTGTAAAGATTGGAGATGCCATTAGTACTTTACTAAATGAACTTGCAGAGTTTTCAATTTCTTCTATGGAACATGATAATGATAGAGAACTTAGTTGGTCAACGTGACCGAATGTAATTATTATTTATTTTTTTTGGCTGAGACAAACTTGTAGTCAAAGTGTGTGGATTTGAAAAAATAACAAGACTAGAGGGGATTTATGCATGGAGTAAAACTGATTGATAACAGGTGGTCGAATGGTAAAGTGACACGTGGAACCGAAGATATGCAAAAGATGAGTAGGAAAACAACTAATACTAGATGCAACATATGCGACTGGTACCAGACGGATTCCGAAGGGAACATAGTCGGTGATAGAAGTTCAAAGGTTCGACATCGGATAGCATTCAATGAGTAGCCGTTACGGAAAATATTTGTTAACATTCAATGAGCAACCGTTACAGAGAATATTTGCACTCAAAGCATGTCGTTATATATTCATCAATGAAACTTTTTTCTTATTTAAGAGGAGCTTGATCTTCCGAGGTAGAGCTATAAAGAGTAGGGTTAACAGCTATTGTAGGGACATGAAACATTCTGCACACAAAAGCTATACTTTACTATTTTGCTCTCAATCAAACAGTTTTATCATCGCTTTATCATTACTTTTACTTCTGTTCTCGGAAAGGCTGAGTTCGAAATCAGGATTGCAATCATCTTTATTTTAACTTGTTAATCTTATATTTGTTTTATTCCTTTATTATTTTTGCATCAAAATGATTCGCTTGTCTATAAACCACATTACAAGTTCAATTGTACCATTTTACGGGTAAACAATTTGGCGGCCACCGTGGGGCATAAACAGTTGCGTAATCATTTTGGTCCATTCATTTATTACTAACAAGTTTTGCTTCTTTCCTTAGTAAAAACTGGATATGACAGCCAATGATGTCAACAACACACACAACGTTGAAGTACGCATTGAACGGGAAGAATTCTCCCAGCGTGATGACTCAATCAGTGAGACCCGCAACGAAGGGGACGAGACGACCCCGGTTCATGAAGGTCAGTATCCTCGGCATGTGCGGGACCCAACTCTTGATGATGTGGAGGAGGAACATGTCGTAGAAACGGTCAAACTCCTTAGGGAACAATAGAGAGCAATCATGGACCACCTCTCAAGGTAGGATCAGGTGATGACGGAGTTAAAACAAGCATTGTCAGATGCCTCCAATAACACAAACAGAAGGGGCCTGATTCTTCCTAGTGTTCCCAGAAATAAAATGGCTCAAAGAATCAATAACAACACCCCAATGGGCAAGGTCGATTTCGACGCAACCGGAGGGATCAGTAGCGGATCTGGGAATAACAATAGGAGTGAACCTTTCAAAATCGAGCTCATGAGATTCATGAGAGGAATGAACGAAAGAATGGATCAGAATGCGAAGGAGTTTACGCTCGGATTGGTCAGATTCTGGGCGCGCCACCAGTGTTACAAGGGCCAGATTCGAAAAAGTACATGCAGTTGTCGTTTAAGCCAAGCACATCACCAGAGCTAATTCCAAAGAGATTCAAGATGCCGGACATACCAAAATACGATGGGACTTCAGATTCGCAGGAGCACATCACAACCTACACGATGATAGTGAAAGGAAATACTTTGGCTCAACATGAGATCGAGTCGGTTCTGTTGAATAAGTTTGGTGAAACCCTCATGAAGGGGGCCCTGACATGGTACTCCCTCTTACTTGAGCATTTAGTTGATTCTTTTGAAATGCTTGCAGATTTATTCATTAAGGCCCATGCTGGAGCAAGAAAGGTTCATGCCTTAAAGGCAGACATATTCAGAATTTTGTAGGGTGAATCCGAGCTACTGCTAGAATTTGTGATCCGGTTCCAAAAGGAAAGGATGCTGCTACCGGGGTGTTCCAAATGAGTAGGCAACGGAGGCATTCACAAAGGGTCTAAACCCACTGTGTTTTGATGCCTCCCAAAAACTAAAGGAGAGTTTGCTCGAGTTTCAGGCAACCATATGGGCAGATGTCCATAACCGCTATGAGTAAACAATAACGATAGAAGACGATCATCTTGGATCATCGGTATCGACAAAAAGACGAAGTCGAGACAAAAATCAGGACAGGTTTAAGAATGACTTTGATGCAGATCGGTGGTTATCAGATTTGACTTTGACGCTGCATATCTCAGGTTATCATATTACAACTTTAACATCAGCCTAGTAGAGTTGGTGTCGACAATGTGAAATATCTAAGAAGAACGGTTCCCGGAGCCAATCCGATCAGATTCTAGCCAGAGTGATCCCAGTTTATGGTGTGAATACCCTAGGAATCACGGTCATAGAACTAGGGACTGCCGACATCTTCATGAAGAGGTGGCGACATTGCCAAAGAATGGCCATCTTAGAGAGATTTTTAAGTGACCGAGCCAAAAACAGTTATGGCCAGAGTAGAGACAACACAAAGCCTTCGAAGACAACAGAAGGGCCGCCTCGGATGACCATCAATATGATATTTGGAGGGAACAAAGTCAATGGGGTAACTTTTTCAGCAGCAAAGAAAATGAAGATATTGGTGACTCGCAATAAGAGACTCCAGGAAGTCTCGGAAGATGACATCACCTTCACAGAGGAGGACACTGACAGACTTCTTCTGCCACACAATGATGCTTTGGTAATATCTCTCAATTTTTTAGATTTTAAAATTAAGTGTGTTTTGGTTGATCCAGAAAGTTTAGCCAACATCATCCAATGGAGAGTTCTGGAGCAAGCAAAATTGACCAGGGACATCATTCTAGCGACAAAGCTCCTAGCTGGCTTCAATTTCACAAATGTGACAACCCGATGAGATGCTACCCACTCACGATGAAGGTATAACAAGGGCCACCATGTTCAAAGTGGTAGATGGAGGCATGGGCTATAACATGATCATCGGAAGGCCGTGGATACACGAGATGAAGGTCGTGCACTCGACATATCACCAATTGCTGAAATTTCCAACTCCAGAAGATATTAGGGAAATAAGAGGAGACCAACCGGCAGCAAGGGAGAAGAACACGGTGACCGTGTAAGGCCCCATAAAATTTTGCCAAGGAATTTAAGGTTCCGTGGTGCCGAGGTAGGCTTACGTTGAAGAATGTACTGAGGAGTTGATTGAAATGTTTGGCTGAAGAAGGCGATCCTGCGGTCAGTTTCGCGAACGCAGAACTATTTCGCGGGCCGCATAATCATCGCGGAGTTGAGCAGAGAATTTTTTGAATTTTGAAGGTTGTTCTGCGATCCATTATGCGATCACATAGTTGTTTCGCGATCCGCACATCCGTCGCAGATTTGGCATGAAGAATTTTGGAGAGTGATTTCACGGTCCACTCTATGGCCGCATAAGTGGTTTGTGGACTGCAGATCTGTCGCAGACCGATCCAGACCAGCCTAGTTCTTGGCATCATTTTCAGGGCCCATTTTGCGGGCCGCATATCTGTTATGCGGTCCATTCTGTGACCGCGGACCTGAGTTCGGAGGGTCCGTTTTCCTATTTTTATAACCCGACCCCATTTTGATAAATAGCCTTAGGAGCTCATTTTGAAGTAAATATCTGATGATTTTAGAGAGAGGTAAGAGTATTTTAGAGAGAGAAGGAGGAAACCTAGCATTCTAGTCACCTATTCTTGCACCAATCTTCAATAATGAAGGAAGCCAATCACTAGACCACTATATACCCGGGTAAGGTCATGTCCTATACCACCCATACAAGTTATTTTAGGGTCTAAGTATATTGTGGGACTGGAATTAGACCATGCATGTGTCAATAGCTTGTAGTATGTGGGGTTAATGAACTAGTTTGGGTAGTTTCTTGTTGAAATTGGTTGAGGGAGGAAGGGATTACCAGTGTAGGGCTTCGTAGTCTATCTTGCATGCTAGGTGTTTGACAAAATTTCTATGAGACTTACACTATGGGAATCCTTCTAATTATTAATCAATTTTTGCTATCTTCTTATAGATTGTTATTGCTAGAAATGTGGGGCGTTATAGTAACTTAAGGAAAGCTCAAACAAGGTATGTTGGCTAAACTACTCTCTTAGAATTGAATTCCATGATGTTCCCATAAGTTTCAAGTATGGTTGGCTCAAGTTCCTTATTCCCATGTTCCGAGTTGGTCAGAGCTAGATATTACTGGCTCCGGATGGAACATGACGCAAAGGCACTCGTACAGAGATGCAACAAATGTCAACGTTATGCATAGTTGGTGCACCAATCAGCAGAACTTTCGCATTTGATGGTGTCTCCGTGGCCATTCATGAAATGAGGGATGGACATAGCTGGACCTTTACCACCGGGCCCGGAAAAGGTAAGATTTCTCTTGGTTTTAACTGATTATTTCACTAAATGGGATGAAGCAGGTCCATACCAAAAGATCAAAAACGCCAATTGGTTGACTTCATATGGGACCACATAATCTGCCGATTTGGAGTACCGAAGGAAATCGCATGTGACAACGGGCCATAGTTCATACGTTCAAAAGTCACAAAGTTCTTGGAAGGGTTAAAAATCAAAAGTATCACTTCTTCGATGTACCACCCGAGTACTAACAAACATGCGGAATCAACCAACAAGGTAATTATTCAAAACCTTAAAAAGAAGTTGAAAGATTCTAAGGGCAAGTGGCCCGATGATCTACCGGGGAGCCGACTTTGAAACAAAGAGGCAAACAA